ACTTCAGTTAAGAAGGGGGGGAGAGGGAGAAAGGGAGGGAGGAAGAGGGAGGGAGAGAGTGGGCATGGCTGATTGGAGCGCCCACTCCTGCATCCTGCTTCCCTGGCCTGAGCACCCACTCCTGCATCCCAGCTCCTTCACCAGAGCCCAGCTCCCACCCCAGGGGCTAGAGCCAGGCAGCTGTGAGCCCTGAGCGGTCACCTCGGTAATTCAATAAATGAACTCTGACAAGCCTAAACGGTTGTTTGGATGGATCCTCTCTCCTCCCACCTCCCCGGCTGCCCGAAACCTCAAATAAAATAAATTAAATAAAACACAAGACACAATCCCAGTCTTTTCTGGCTGCCTTCTCTACTGGGAGTCAGAAAAATGCTAATGACGCTGGGCTGGGCAGCCTGAGCTGTTTTCTTTCCCTCCTGCCTCCTCCTCCTGGCGGCAGGCTGGCCTGGCCATTATTCCTCTGGCTGCCATAGGTGTCTTCAGCCAATCGGAGGCAATGGCAGCCGCTTGCATCTTGCTGACAGCTGCTGTCAAAACACTCTCACAAGCGGCAGCTCGATAATAACTCGAAAATGAGATACAAATGAGCGGCTCCTCCTGAGTGGCCACGCCGTCCTGCAGCCCTCTCGCTCTGGGTGCAACGGGGACCTCAGGGATGCGCAGAGAGGCTGCAGCAACCCTGGGGACACAGGTTGAAAACCCACAGACCAACTGGCCAGACAGGACTACTCTGCCAGGAAGATGCCATGTCCCTTGGAGGGGACACCAGGACTTGGCAGCTGGTCTGAAGTCGTTCCCCAAGGGATGTGGCCACCCCAGGATGCAGCTGCTGAGATAAACATTTGCTAGGAAATAGCCGTGGGGGCACCTGAGGGCCAGCGTGGGAAGCCCTGCCCAGGACACCCTGGCCCCGCCTGCCCCTCCCACCACCCACTGCAGGCTGCTGGCTGTTTCCTGTCAAGCCAACTCTTTTCCAGAGTCTTGGGCTGTTTCTCCCCCAAGGAGGTCCACACTAGCACACCATGTTCCCGAGGCTCTGGGATGGAGGGGGCTGGGCTGAAGGCAGGAGGGACTTGGGCTCAAGTCATAGCTGGGCCAGAAGTGTCCACTGCAGAGGGAGGGAGGGCACTGTTCCCTGCAAATAGCAGTGCGCACTCCACACGTGCACACTGTGCTTTTCCAGGTTAAGGGACGCTAAAAAAATCCACTAGTGCTTTTCTCCTCTGATACGCAGACTGCTCAGGGCTGGAGATGCTGCTGGTTTCATTAAGCCGAGGTGGTGACTCAGGCCGGGGTAGAAAACCATGAAGGGATGTCATGCACATTTCAAGCCACAGAGCACAACAGTCCCATGCTCCTGGTGAAAGGAAAGTGACCACAACACTCAGAGCAAACAAGAGATCTTTATTGCAGCAGTGCAACAGAGGAGAAGAAAGAGAAAGAGAAAGAGAAAGATAG